TGTGGATGTTTGCTCTCGTAGGGCCTTTTCCCAATCCCTGATATGTATGAATTTTCCACGAATTTTCTCGTTCTTCCTATTCTTGATAAATCTAAAGGTTTTTACCATGGCATCCAAGGAGCCTGCTTTATCGGTCTCTTCTAGGAGCTTGGTCACCTTCTCTTCGAAATGTTGGTCAAAAGCCTCCTGTTTTTGCTTCCTAGCCGTATTGCTTGCCTTCTTCAATTCCGCGTTCGTCCGATCTTTCAACAGTTCCTGGTGTGCTTCTGTATATCTTTTACAAGCATTCTCTCTCCTCGGTGTCATTGGCGATGTCGGTGCTTGGAGTGTGATGACAGCAGCCTCATTAATTGCTTTGGTAAGGGAGGACCATTTCTGCTCAATTGATTGTAAACTCCTGTGCGGATGAGATGTGAGTTTCCGATCAAGTGTGGCTTGATATCTGTCCCGTATATCCTCGTCATTTTTTAATCCGTCTAAATCTAGTTTAATTCGTTTCGTCGGGTGGGGAGCTGTTGGGATTCTTGCATTTTGGTTTCCACCTTTTACTTTCATCTCACCTATCACCATTTTATGGGCACTGATATTATCCGGATGAAAGAATCCTTTAATGTGTGGAAATTGTAAGAATGTCATTACACTCATCAGTACTTGGTCGATCTGAGATTCGCTTCGCCTATTAAACCATGTTACTTTCACTGATGGAGACTTTGAGTATGTGAGGTAGTTTTTCAAGCGTAGACCGTGTATCATGTTCTTCAGTTCAAGGCCGTTAAGATTTGATTGATGGTGTAAGAGATTTGATCCAATATATTGTTTATCTTCTTCCGTCATGTCCTGGATGCCGATGTGTGTGTTGAAGTCTCCTAACATAACCTATAATTATTTAAATCTTAATTAAGCCGATTCGTATGATATACGTAGAAAATAATAATTATAATGATTAACCAATATTGATAGCAATTATAATGATTAACACTTAAAAACAATAATAAGATAAAAATATACGTTACAATTCTATTTTGTAAACTGTTTGGAAGTCCTGAGACGTAACGCGTTAGAATGCCAAATTCTCCATTGTCAGCTGATTGTACTGGTCTTACATAAGTTGCGATGAACATAACAGATTCGCCCAGATGATTACTGAGATATGAACAGGAATTTGCGCTGATCTTTTTAAATTTGTTGTCAACATGTATTGCTTTTGCTATTACTATCGCTGTGCCTCCTCCTTCTCGTGGTCTTGTCGTATTGTCGTCGTTTACATTATACCAGTAGAAGTTTTCCGTTTTTCCGGGAGACGTGATTCTTGAATTGCAGCTATTAAAATTCCTTGTTGAACCAACACTTCGTCTATCTTATTTCGTTTTATTTCAGATGCACATCCCCTTACATTCCAGCTTGCGAATTTCAACTGTTTTTTCTCTGTGATTTCAATTCCTTCAATATTTCCTGTATTTTCCGATCGATTGCTTATTTGAGATGCCATTATCCTTGGATTTCTGTGCCATGCTCTGATCTGTTCATTTGGTACTCCGTACTCTCGTTGATTTACATCAGTTTGATTAACTGTCTGCTCTCGTCGATTTGTTTGGAGAACTTGCACTACGCTGTCGTAATGATTCCGGTTTGCGTAATTTCTGGTCTGCGCAGATCCCACATTAAGTTGTAATGTTCTTCAGATTGGCGTTCGTGCCATAGAGTTGACTAACGATTGCTGAGAAGAGGCAATGTCCGTCCCTTTCCATTAGTCTTACTAATATTGCTCCATCATTATATCTCATCACTTCCATTTTGAATAATTTAGAGTCCTGATCTATTTACCTAATGATTTCTAAAGAAAATAATTTTAAAATGTTATACATTTCTTTGTTTATCTTCAGCGTTTTTGGGTTAGTTATTCGAATATTTAAAATATAATAAATAAATTTCTAGAATTTAGATGAATAGAGTATAAACATAGATAGACTAAAGATTGAGAGCGTTTGCGACAGCAATAGCATCAAAGTAGGAGTGAGATGTGTATGTATAGGAGGAGATAGAAGAAATCGGAAACTGGAAACTGCTGGACGTTAGCTTCAGGTTCTGTGTTAGTATTAGTATTGTTAGTGCAGAACCTTAGTGGACCCTCCCGGCGCCTCCAATCAGAGTTGGTGTTAGTATTTCAACTCTTTTTAGAGGTACGCTTTAATGACTGATATAGATTGCCTACTAAGGGACAAACCATGCAAAATTGACGCAGCACATTTTTGACTAGATTTAATCCCCCTCCCTTCTTTGTCCGTCACAAATTCTAAAAACTCCACCTCCCTTTCTTTAGAATGCTACGTCATTCATGCATGGTACCTAACTAGAAAATGGTTATTGATTATGTAATAGAAATGGTTAAATATGTAAGCTTGTAAATGTTCGTTATTATATGAAATCAATCAAAACATATTACCTTATTTTAATTATAATTAACTTATCCAAATAGAGATACCACTGATATATAACAAAACAAAGCAAAAAACAGGTAATAAATGAATAGCTAAATTAATAACTTAAGTGATTAAATCTTATTTATAAATTAGCAAGTAACATATTGGTTTACAAAGCAATAGTTAAAAGGCATCAATCATATCATTTAAGCGTCGTTGATCCCTCCAGCAAAGGGGAGGGCATTTGCCGAATTAAATTTAACTCGTGGTTAAAAGTGACGTTTCGAAAATTATTTTCTATGTTCGAAAATCCCCGTGCTGTTGATCGACCGGTTTTCAACACACGGTTGTCAAAATTTAAATTCTTGTTTGTCAGAAATAACCATGCTCGGATAGCAGGGTTCATCGATAACTTTCCATCTGTCAAATTTTAACCAAAAGCTAAAATAATCCACCAAATGGTTCAGAACCTAAATAGGGTAGATTGACAGATGAATATGTGCAAGGCAAAAACACCAATTTCTTCACAACAACAGGCTTGTTCATCGTTTGGACAACTAAAACCAAAGTTCGAGCAATGAAGTGAAAATCAATAATTTCTCATACTAATTTACCTCGTAACTCACCGAAATCTTCCTACAAACTTTAAATCATTTGCGCGTCTTCTAAACCTTCATCAATCTTTAACATTTTTTTTGCACAGGCTCATATTTTGGGGTTATGAATCGAACTGGAATGTGGCCTATTGATGAATTTACGTTACGGTCGACCAGCAGATGGATATGATGTGAAAATGATAACAACGTTTAGCTACCTGTCAAATCGGATGGAATTTTTTTTTGTACATCATCAGTTTTGTAATTTCAAATCTGAAAATTAGGTGTCGCATGGCCAGTTTTACCTTTGCGTAAATTCATCAATCAGAAATTCATACCTTCAAAATGAAGCACCCTGGAGTACACTCAACAAACATTGGAATAAACCCAATTGATGAATCTACGTTACGGTCGGCCAGCAGATGGAAATGATGTGAAAATAATAATGACGTTTTGCTACCTGTCAAATCGTATGGAATATTTTTTAGTACATCATCACTTTTGTGGGTTTGGATTTCAAACCTAGGTGCAGTTTCACGTAAATTCATCAATTCATCGGAGATTTGCACGCTTTGCTATCATTGGTTAGCCTTGTAATCCTTCCTGATTATGACGAAGTCTCTAAAGCGCCATCTGCATTGTTGATCTCGTCCGATACATCGAACCGAATTATGCTTCGACTAGCTTTCTTAAAAATGTTTAACAGAATTGTTTCTGTAGTTCGAGCTGTTAATCTGCGTCGCCATCTAAATACTAGTCTTATGATAACGATCACATTTGTCTTATATCTGCTTTCACGTAGAAGGTTGAGCTCCCTTTGACCCTTTGCTAGTACCTCTGCTGTAATGTTCCTAGTTGCGTGATGATCTAATGATCACTTTCATTAGAAAGCCGTTCCAAAAACGGGTTAATGCTGGATGCGTTTGGAAATTTCACCTATTTACCATTTTGCGGGTTTCGATAGAGACCCCAATCCATCTACAAATATATACACAAGTCAATCGAACGGATGCAAATTTTCATCCAACTGCAATTTCGAAATTGGCTTCCCAATGCGGAACCATCAACAGAATTGGTTTTATTGCCGTTAATTAACCCACCGCAATTCTCAAACCACGTACGCAGCTTCAAGAATGCCACCAGATCCTATTAACTAATTCCACAAACCGGACAACCGTCAGCCATTAGCATATGTATTTCGCAATTTAGATCTTCTCCAATAAGGAAGCAGAAGAACAACTCCACAATGGGAGAAATTCGCAACCTGTATAGCGTCTCAAGTCACATGAGAGGGCAGCTGCTATTCGCCACATTTTCATTAAATTTGCATGATAATGATGATGCCGCAGAGCGAGAGAAGACTGGCTCCGCGAGCCCACGGTAGAATGATGTGAAAACGGGTCTTTATCGGTTTGTTCACGGACGTCATCACTGGCCAAAAATTCGAAATCTTCCTTCGGAACCTTCTGCTTCTTTTTGACCATTTTATTCGCAGTGTGAAATGCTTATTATTTTTCTGATGATTTTTTTTTTTGGCATAATTCTCTTTTCTCGATCTCTTTCGCTCCAATACAACTATGCTCCGTCTTTCGAACGTTCTGCACAAGGCCACTTTGAGAAGTGTGAGTGTTATGTGCCATGTTCAAACTACAGAGTTGTAACGTGTTACAAGGGTGGTAACATGTTATAACTCCGCAGTGCGAACATAGCATTAAGTGTGATTAGTATGGTATAGGATTTTTTTGGTTTCAGATTAACGTAGCGTTATGGTACAATAGGGTAAAATTCTTCTTGTCAAGTTTCAAGAGACTAAGAGTGTGGGTGTGATTCCGATCGACAAAAATATCTCTAGTCTAGGTTCGACCGGAACGGGATCATCCGACGGGTGCGATTAAAAAACATTCAACAACGATATACTCTCTATTATACATATATGTGTGTAGGTGTGTGTGTGTGTATTTTAGTGATATAGAGTGTGTTTGTGTTCATTTCGAAACATCTATCAAGTGTGTGCCAAACGTTCCCAAATTTCGTTAATTTATTCTAAATTTGCCACATTTATGATTATTTTCTGTCACATTTCTACGGTTCGTTAGTGGGCGGTGAACAGCTTCATTCCGGTTTCATAAAGCTTTTCCAACATTATTTTTTAGTAACAAAGAACGAACTAGAATACTGAATCTGATGAATGTCGTAGAGTATAAAGTAACTCGATAAATAAGCACCTATTAATTTAATTTAAAATAACAAAAGAAAAATATTACCATCACATTGCGCATTCTGGTTTGAACAACCGAACCCAACTTAACCTAATTTCTTACCAAGGATGGGAAACGTAGATAGGACATAGAGTAGTAAAACAGAAGTTATAGCTTTCACTGAAAACGAAACGCTCCATTTAGCTGTTCAGCGACAGTAACTCCTATGTGTACGGCGTACGCTGGCTAACGCTGTTGATGCCGGAAGTGCTGCAAGACAAAAACGCGTTCGTTAAAATATTTCCCTCCCACCGGAATAGAGTTTATTGCCATCATTACTTCTTGCTACACTTGATGTGAATCACCAGCAGGACGATGCCCAACAGCAGACAGACGCTGCCGACGATGATGTAGGCAAAGCCAAGGAACGGATTCTTGCCACCCAGCAGCGAGGTCGTCGAGAGGATGATCTTCTTAGTGCCATCGAATTCGCTAACCGAATATGCTGAAAAATGGATAAACATTATGCTCATCATTGCCTATTAGTCTTCTACACTAGTGAACTTACAGTAGTTGATTTTCAGCGAGTAGTTTCCCTTGCCCAGACCGTCCTCGAAGTACTTCTTGTTGTGGTCAATGCGACGGTGCAGCTTGCGGAAGCTAGGCAAAGCGGCCGTGCGCATCCATACGATGAGGTCTTCGTTCTGAAAGCAGGGTGGGGAAATGGTCGCTTATTCAATTGAAGGTTTATAAGTGGGCAGCATTACGGTGCCGAGTGTTGTCAGTATTACATAGAATTTTAAAGAGTCTGTTTCATAGTCAATTCTTTAAGAAGATACCGGCAATTTTTCATCGACATAATTGCGACCTGGAATTTTCGAGAAATGTTCAAATTCTTCTATCAAACAAATTTCAAAGAATAGTATATATTCGAAGACAACATATCAAGAAGACTGGCAACTCTTCAATTCAAAGTGTTTTTTATGTTACTTCATACGCGAAGTTAACGATTTTCAGAGTTGGTTGGAAATGCTAACATGAAGCTTTAGTGTGATGATTTATTAGCTAGAGAATGATCTTTAGAAGAGGGTAGGTGGATAGTTCCGTTAGAGTACGGCAGTATGAAAATTGAATAGAAGTTGAAAATGAGCGAAGGGCCATTAATGCGTCAGTTTTTCAAGATAGACGCACATTTTTGCCTAACCCGTACGATGTACGCGGGGACTTGAAGTATGTCTCCAAGTCCACAGTACCTCCACCTTCGCTCGAGCGCAGCGCTACTGTATCTGTCACTTGGATCCTGGCAGAGTTACCAGTCTTCTTGATTTGATGTCTTCGATATATTGGAGTACACCAGAGAAACTTCTCAGGAATTTTAAAGCTTATTATAATAAAAGGCCAGCGTCTGTGTGTAACGTACCTAGGACCACCAAATCCAGAACCGACAGCCACAGACAACAGACCTCGAAGTTCTCCCTGGTTTTTGTTTGACGTAGGATTACGTCTTTAATTTCTATACGGGGGGTCACATTAAAAAAAAAATCAAAATTCAGACATTTAACGAAAAATCTCAAACACGGACGCAACGATAGCATAGAGGTAACTCTAAGACTAGTAGGTCCCGAAGAAACGTGCTCAACTTTTTGGCTCAGCTTTGGTACTATCTTCGGTCCCAAGCTAATCGATTCACCCCTCGGAACATAGGAAAATCCACAAACCCCTCATTTTATCTGTCAAAGTTTCATAGCGAATCAAAACAAACATTGTGTAGTACTAGAATTTTGACTAGAATAGGGTACGTTAATCGATTTGCTTGGGACCAATAGGATAGTCAAGTAGTGAGCCAATTTAAAATCGTTAGTTTCGTATTGATTATTGACGATAGAGCGCAATCGAACAAACGACACATTGATCATGCTCACAAGAGTGAGCTCAACGCTCGGTTGACCGCTCACCATTTTACCAATGAAAGGAAGGGAGGAGAAAAGCAGCGATAATAAAAACGCTTGCCAAATAGTTTTCTTTTCATGCCAATTCGTTTTCTTGCCTTGAAGGCAACCGTCTAACAAGCCAGAATGGTGAACCTCAGAAATGAGGACTTCAGTAACAAGATGAGCTCTCTCACAGATTGTGCTAAGCCCTTCTGGAAGCTGACAAAAAATCTCAAAAATAAGCCAACCTGAGTTCCAGATTTTTCAACCATCTGGCACTGATTTCTCAGACTTGACTACTTCCCCTTGTGCTGGAAGTCAGCTAAAGTCATCCCCATTTGGAAACCTGGGAAAGATCCATCCACTCCTTCAAGCTACCGACCCATCAGCCTTCCCTCGGGGTTATCCAAGCTGTTCGAAAGAGCAGTCTACCATCGACTCCTGGCATCTGCCGAGGAAAACAACTTATTGCTCGAGGAGCAGTTTGGCTTCCGTAAAGGTCGCTCGACGTTCACCAGCTGACTCGAGTAACAAACATTCTCAGACGGAACAAATCTGTATCTAAAACATCTGCCAAGGCATTGTTGGACGTTGAAAAAGCGTTCGGTCGTCTTCGCTTTTCTTCCGCTGCCAGCTCACCGCTGGGTCGTTTGGGTCTCCTTGAACGATTTTACCGACCGTTGGAAACTAACGATTTTAAACTGGCTCACGACTTGACTAGCCTATTGGTCCCAAGCAAATCGATTAACGTACCCCATTCTAGTCCAAATTCTAGTACTACACTATGTTTGTTTTGATTCGCTATGAAAGTTTGACCGATAAAATGAGGGGCTCGTGGATTTTCCTATGTTTCGAAGGGTGCATAGATTAGCTTGGGACCGAAGATAGTACCAGAGCTGAGCCAAAAAGTTGAGCACGTTTCAGGACCTTCTGGTCCTAGAATTACCTCAATGATTTTACCTCACCGGGACACAGTCGAATTGTCGATTCCGAACTGTTTCGCGATCCACCTGTGGGACTGGCCTGGATTTTCCACGACCGCTACCATATTTTTTTATCGAAGCACTTCTTGCTTGGAAGCCATCTCGAGAACCACTTGACAGATTGTGGACGAGATTTTGCACATGTAAACATTACATTCTTAACTAGTTTTACTCAAAATTTCCTCAATTTTTACCCATGCAAATAAAAGTTATGCAGTACAATCTTTATACACTCTAATCCGTGAATCCGGTACCTACTGGTATCGAACTTAAATCTAAAGTAAAATGTATATCGATGCACATTAGACTGATGCAAAATTTGAAATTTTCGCTCCACAGTGTTCAAACGGTTCCTATTTCCTCCCAAAATGTGAATTTATTTAGTTAGAAATTGACTTGACACAAACCATTTGAAGTTTATATAGAAATTACTAAGGGAAACCCAAATTTTGTGTTCATATCTATCTAATAATTTACCCTATTACCATAGAGGTAACTCTAAGACTAGTAGGTCCCGAATAAACGTGCTCAACTTTTTGGCTCAACTCTGGTACTTTCTTCGGTCCCAAGCTAATCGATTCACCCCTCGAAACATAGGAAAATCCAATAACCCCTCATTTTATCTGTCAAACTTTCATAGCTAATCAAAACAAACATTATGTAGTATTAGAATTTTGACTAGAATGGGGTACGTTAATCGATTTGCTTGTGACCAATAGGCTAGTCAAGTAGCGAGCCAATTTAAAATCATTAGTTTCGTATTGATTGTTGCTATTACTCTGCTCTGAAAATTGGTAACTGTACTTGTAGTAAATTTTCAAAACTTTGTTGAATACCATTTTTCGATAAAATGTAAGGATCAAATGTTATTGATGATTCAACGTCTCCATTGGTCTCGGTCCTGAGCCAATCGTTTCCAGTCGCCTTGGACGTTCAAGGACCTAATGTCCTCCTCAACTGCACAAAGCCAACGCGTGCGTGGTCTACCCCGAAGCCGACGTCCTCTTCCGGGTTCCCTGCTGAATATTGACTTCGCTTGACGCTCTTCCGGCATTCGTGCCACATGCCCAGCCCACTGTAGCCTGCCGTGTTTTATACGCTTTACAATATCCATGCCGTTATATACTTGGTACAACTCGTGATTCATGCGACGCCGCCAGATGCCATTTTCCAGTTTACCGCCGAGTATTGTTCGCAGCACTTTACGCTCGAAGACACCGAAAGCTCTCCGATCGGCCTCTTTCAATACCCACGATTCGTGGCCATAAAGGGCTACCGGCAGAATCAACGTCTTGTACAGCGCGAATTTCGTTTTCGTACGCAAGCTGCGGGACTTCAGCTGGCTACGCAACCCGTAGAAAGCCCGCCTGTTCGCGGCTGCAATACGCCTTTTCACCTCGCGGGTAACATCATTATCGCACGTCACTAAAGTACCAAGATAAACAAATTCGTCCACAACTTCAAATTTTTCAACATCTAGCACCACTTCACTACCAACACCACTATTGCTTCCACGGCGACCATGTACTTCGTTTTGGTAGAATTTATCGTGAGACCAATCCTCGCTGTCTCCCTCTTAAAAGACGCGAACGCCTCTTGCACTGCTCTACGGTCGATTCCGATGATGTCGATGTCGTCCGCAAAACCAAGCAGCATGTGCGACTTTGTGATGATGGTATCGTTCCTCTGCAAGCTAGCTCTCCTAATCGCTCCTTCGAGGGCGATGTTGAATAGCAAGTTCGAAAGAGCATCTTCCTGATCTAAGGTCACGAACGAGGCCAAAATCTGGTCTGCAACCCGTACACATGATTTCGAACCATCCAGCGTTGCACGAATCAGCCTAATTAATCATGTTTTGTTGTTTTTGACATCACCCACATCCAGAGGGCCAGTCACTTTGAATGTATGGGAATGGTAGGAAACCATTTGGAAATGCATGGAAATTTTCAGTTTTTATTCATTATCGTCTCTATGGGCAGTTTTAGATGCACAAAAATTGCACGAGTACATTAATATGGTGGTAAGGTAAACACTCGTTTATTTGTTTCCTTATGTGAAAGTATGTTTAGTCACAAATCGTGGATTTTCTGATAATCTCCATACTGCAAAAATGATTTTCCTACCACTGAAGGGGCGACATCTCTCGGATCTTCAGTATAGCTACTACTCAATCATATAATTAATTAGTTTCGTCGGAAAACCGTTCTTGTATTATCTGCCATAGCTCGTTTCTCTTTACTGAATCGTACGCTGCCTTGAAATCTATGAACAGATGATGAGTCTGCAAGTTGTATTCCCGGAACTTCTCAAGGGTTTGACGCAGGGTAAACATTTGATCCGTCGTTGATCGACCCTCACGAAAACCAGCCTGGTATTCGCCGACGAAGATTCCTCAAGCGGTCTCAATCTGTTGAACAGACTTACCTTACCAATCAGGCTAAGGCCTTGTTGTCCTCTGCTGTCCGAAGAAGTCGTCTCCACTCTACTCGATCCATGGCCACAGTTCGCCAGCCTCGTAGTCTGCGAAGGGTCCGCAGGTCACCTTCTACTTGGTCGATCCACCTTGCCCGTTGTGCGCCTCTTCTTCTTGTTCCTGTTGGGTCGCTTTCTAGAACCATTTTCACTGGGTCATCGTGCGGCATTCTTACGACGTGCCCAGCCCACCGTAGTCGTCCAATTTTTGCAATGTGGACGATGGATGGTTCTCCCAGCAGCTGGTGCAATTCGTGGTTCATTCGCCTCCTCCACGTTCCGTCATCCATCTGCACTCCACCGTAGATGGTACGCAAC